CATAAGCAAAACTTACATTGTTCCCCAAAGTTGATATGAGGTAACCACTAACCAATTCTTTCATTTAAGAAAATTCGAATAATATAACCAGTCATTGTGAAGAGTAAATAGACACTGCCTCCACACTATATAAGGTGCTTTATAACAATATACCTCTGAGCTTCAGTCCGTGTTTCGGTTTGAGTGCTCTGTGATTACAGACTGTCTTTTTGGTGTGTGCACAATAAACTTTTCCCTTTTTTTTTTTTAATGATCTTTTGACAATACTCAAGGAATGTTTGTTGAATCCTGATCCAAAGTTTCTCATTTTCCTGCCTTTTCTCATTGTCCTCACATAATGTCTACTCTTTTCCTCTGCCCACCTATCTAAAGCCTAACCCCAAATGGTCAATAACCATTCTTTAGAATATGTTCTTTGTATCATTCTAATGGTGCTTATTAACACCGTTTGGAGTAGTAAAGAAATATAGTGTCTTTTTTAAAAAAAACCACTTAGGACATAATAATTGCTCAGTAAATGTTAACTATTATAATCATGTTATAGTTTTTGTATAGCTTTTTAAGTTCCCTTTGGGCAGAACTATGTCCTACTTTTTGGTTTCACTTTCCAGTATCTTCAAAGCACTTAACTTGGAAGAATTGTGCTGAGGGCTGGGGGCTTGAGGCTGGGGGCTGTGGTCTCAGAAAACCCTGAGAGATGGGGGTGGGGTCTGCAGGCATGCAAGGCAAGACGTGGAGAGGGCTGACTCTACCCATCAATCACACAGTTTGGGCAGTGAAGGCCCCATCTCCCTCCCCACTTTTCAGTCATTATTCAAGTAACAGCCTGTCAGCTGAGAGTAAATGAAATCAGGAGGCTTTGGCTAGAAATAAGTGATAAAGGTTTATTCAAGGGTCTTAAGGTTTGCAACCAGAAATAAAACTGGCAGAATAAGAGAGAAAAGCTAAGGGTTCTTACAGTAAAAAGTTACGTCCTTGAGGAGACTCAATCTTGTATGCTTAGCCTCCGGGTTGGTCTGAGATGGTAAACCTGTAGATGATTGGTGGTCTGGATAAGGGATGTCAGGGGGTCTGGGTTAAGTGAATATTCTTTCCTTAGTCTTTGAAGGGTAATCAGAGGGTTTTCTGGAGGCTTGATGTATATCCAGACATTGACACAGGACTGAAAAGTTCACGGGTTTGTTTCCAGGCGAATTAAAACAAGAATAGAACTATTTCCTCATAGCTCTACCTACTTGATTTTAATCTGGCAGCTTGACTATAGTAATTCCGTTTTATTTCTACACTCTATGCCCTGAGCCACTCTTAAGCAACAGATGCAGGCTGCTGAGACCTCTTTGGGGGGGTCGCCTGGGACACACAATCCGGGAGGCGTGGGCTCAGGCGGAACCTTCCTCTTCAGCTTCATGATTCCCGGGACTCCGCGCCTATCGCTGCACTAGCAAAGCGAAGGCCTCCTTCCCCACTCCCGGTGGCCTGTCCCAGTAGCGGGTTCCGGAGCTGTTTGACTTGTAATTTCAATCAAACGATTAACGGACACCCGAACGACAGAACAGCTTCTCCATGCAGCGCGCCCGACGCACAGAGGTACTAACGCCCCTTAACAGGACGGCGTCTAACGCGGGGCCGCGCACGCGAGCCCCACCCCCGCCCCGCCCCGACCGCCCACCATCCCGTCTCCAGGACGTGCTGGCTGCGCGGCTCCCAGACCCCTTCGCGGTTGGAGGGTTCCCGGACGACCCGAAGCGTACGGTTATCCGTCGGAAGCTGGCGGAGGCCGGTCCACGGGGGAGAGAGCAGCAGAGCGTAGCAGAGCCTGCCCTGCACGCCCAGGGAGAAGTAGGAAGGAGGCAGAGTTAGGTGAGGGAGCGCGGAGCCAGTGAGCTTGGGGTCCGACTCCAGCCCCGGTTCAGGACCCAGACTGGTCCGCCAGGCCCCAAGCCGGTGTTACAACCCGCATCTGTAGAGGACAGAGCGGACACAGGGACGGACCGGATACGGGCATATGGCTTCTCCGTTCCTGTCCGCGGGAGCCACCACGGGCGACAGCAGCGGAGAGATGAGCTCTGGGGACGACTCCGGGGATGTGGATTCCCTCCAGAGCCCCGAGACCGAGGCGTCCAGGAGACTGGCAGAGCAGTTTGAGAAGGCTGCAGCGCACCTCCAAGGCCTGATTCACGTGGCCAGCAGGGAGCAGCTTTTGTACCTGTATGCCAGGTACAAGCAGGTAAAGTCGCAGGGAAGGGGTGGATGGGGGGAGATCGACAAGAGGCCTTCTCTTTCCAACAAAAACTAATTGTAAACATGCATGGTTAATAGCTGGTAGTGTGCATGTGTGTGTTGTGTTTTGTTGTTTTTTAATCACCCCCTAAGGATTAGCATCACTCTGGACATGGAAAAGACCAGTCTGCTATCCTAGGAGTGATGTTTAGCTGGACACTGAATGATAGTTTTTCTGTGTCTTCTCTGATTTGCTCAAGTGACCTTGTGCTTATGTTTTCACCAGCTTTAGAACCTTTACAAATTTGGGATGACAAAATAAGATTTGTCATTCACTCTTGCAGAGGGACCTGTGGACGTAAATATGGTACTGTTAAAAAAATATTTTGAGGTCCAAGAGAATGATATGATTGTAATTAAAAGGATGATACAAAATAAAGTATTACTCCTTTTATTATTGTGGATTTTTTTTGGTAACCCTAAATATCTTAGACTTATGTTTTGGCTGATTGTGCCTGTTAGATGGACAGTAATTATACAAATTTTAGAGCTAGTGAACACTAGATGAAATAATGCCCTTCTTTTACAGAAAAGGAAAGGGATGCCAAAGAGCAGGTGACTTGCCCAGGGTCATACAGATAGTCAGAACTAGAACTGGCTTGTAGCTCCTGATCCTGTCAAGGCCCTGAACTTTACCTGGAAATATGGAAATAAAAATAGTAATGTCATATAAGACATGTTTAATTTATCCTTCAAAGAATCATTAGGTTAGGTACCAGAAGGAAACTTAATTGCTTCTTCATCAACAAATACTTGTTCAGCATCTTTTATGTGCAAAACACTGGGGTGTGATGCCTACAGGGAATACAAAGAAGCAAAAGCATCATGACACTCTGCCTTGAAGACGTACCAAGTGACTTGAGTCTAGATTTAAACACTGAGAAATTGCTGACAAAGTTAAGTAACAGTTCAGGAAAACTCCAGCTCTCTGGAACACCTGGAAGCAATGAAATGCTAGATAATAGCGCATTTTATTTTATGAATTTTTTAAAAACTCTCCTTTTGCTTTTTGGTATTTATTTTCTCCTGTATTAAACTGAATATGCTGAATAGAGATGAATCTTCTTTTGAAGATTGATGAATGACAGTTATGAATATCAGTTAAGGTGACCTGAGAGATATAGTTTGGGTACAAATGGTATAAATCATAGGGTTGAATGAAAACTGCCCCTGAATTGGCCTTGGAATTTGCTTTGTTGCAAAAGTTCTGGACATCTATTTTCTCTTCCGTCATTTACCCTGTCCTGATAACATTAAAATGAGACTTCTGGTTATTGAACAAGAATTCATTGAGCGTTGTGCTAGGACCTGTTACATGTCTGGCTGATGATTTTCTGGGCAGTATAAGACGGATTTTCTCCAAATTCCCTACAGAAAATTATTTTTCTTTCTAGGACATATCTTTATTTATTGCTATTAGTATCATCATTATTAAACATCTGATTTCCAAGTCATCAGTGAATTACAATCACCTGTCAGCTGGCAATCATTCAGGTCTACTCACTTCATCCAGATAGTCTGGAAGAGGCGTGTCCCTCACCCTTTCAAGAACTTGACATCAGGGTGTTTAGAGATATCCTGTACCTGGAAAATAAAATCCTTCATTACTAGAGAATAAGTTTATGCTTACATATGACATTAGGATACGGTTTTCATCAATCTCTTCTAAATATTTTATTTTTAACAGAATTTTGAAACAGTGTTAAAAATAGCATCTTTGATAGAATAATAGAGTTGAAGGTCCAATATGATTTTTGTAGCTGAATGAGGTAAGGTT